TGAACCAGCTGGGTTTTTCTGACAATTGGCAATGATTTCATGGTGATCAGTAGATTCTTAATTCCAGACTTTTTTTTCTAATTTTTGAATTCAAATTCCATCTGCCGTGGTGGGATTTGAATCCGGATCCCCAGAACATTAGCTGGGTTTCCGGATTAATAGTCTAGCAATAATACCACTAGGCCATCTCCTACCCTGATAATGGTAGGGATCTGGAACTTACTGCCTGAACGACTGATGGAAAGAAGCCTTCCAGAAATTTAAAAGTTACTTCGTGTCATAACCCACAAGTCTGTGGGTCAACAGCTTGAAAGTGGGATTATGTTTGATGGCTACTTGACAACCACCATTGCCATGATAGGGCTGAATGGCCTCCGAGTTGTTAGTTTCGGTGGTTTTATGGTTTCTTTCAAAGTTCTCCATGGGCTATCTCAGTCATACCTTTCATTTCACTTTCTCAATTTATCTTGAGCATTTTGAGCCTTATAGTTTTGTAGTTGGCTAAGTTTCATACTGTAGTTTAGAACTTGCATGAATGTATCACCTTCAGACTTAATGTGAAAATCTACTGTTTTTCACTTATCCCCAGAGATTTTTTTTTTTAATTGAGAAAGCACTGCGTTCTTTTACAAGACATGATCTTAAATAGCCTCTTCCCTGGTTGGCTCCATGACGCATGGTTCTACAGAAACAGTCACTAATATGTTCTGTGAACTTGTCCTCCATACCACTTTTGCCAACTTCATATGTCCAGTTTATATGAAAATTAAATCCTGCACAATTGGACGTAGTGCTGGAATCAGTTGAAAATACATGTTCTCTAAATCAATGCATTACTTTTGAGACTTGAATTAGATAAGCACGAAGCATTTGAAATACTTATTATATGGAGTCTGCTACCTTTTTGGTTTTGTTTTACCATAAGACAAATTATCTAAAGCATATAGCAAGCTTATAGTTTTAAATTTTCACTGTTTTGGTTTTCTTCATCTTTATCTGTTGTTTGTCAAAATGCTTTACAGTGTTTCTAGCTTGCCTTTTGAAGTACAAAATGAGTAGGACCATGAAATTAATAGCAGACTGGGAAAGTTCATATGGTAGACCACTTTGGCATGAAGCATAAATTTGATATTAAGCATGTTATAATTTGCAACATGATCTTTAGAGTTTCCATAAAGCATGTTATTGTTAGTAATTAATGGTATGTAACACCAATATCTTTTTTGCCTAGATATCGACTGCAAACTGTGAAATCCTTAGCTGGCGTCAGCCTTATGTTGCGGTTATTATGGGCATGCTTACGATGGGATGACATGGCAGTTAAACCGCCATCAGGAGTCACCACTGCACGTACAGGTAAGATAGACTCTAAATTATCTCAGACTGTGATTTAGATGTTGCGTTTTGGAGACCTTTGTGTAAAGATGATTTGCAGCTAAATGAGATTTTGTACTATGCTGTTAGCTACCTCCAAATAAAAATATCCGAAGCTTTTCAGAACAAAGCAAATTTACATTATATAGTTGCTCCTTAGTTTTTTGAAAAAAAAGTGATTTGCAATAATAAAAGAATTTTCATTTATATAGTGTCTTTCAGCACATCTGCAAATGTATATACTATTCCATTCATAAGTAGTGGAATCTTGATGAAAGCGGTGTATGAGCCCAAAATGTGACAAGTTTTGTAGAATTCAGATTGTACAGAGTGACTTCAGGGAGAATATTAGTAGCACTTAGTCATAGGAGCAAAGTAAACCATTCGTGTCTGCCTGTCATTCAGTGAGATCAAAGCTGATCAGGTTTAACCTCCCTCAAGTACTTTCATATCAGGAATCTACCTGGTAAACCTTCTCTGTCTGCTTCCAATGCTAGTATGCTTTTCCTTAGAAAAGGGGACCAAAACTGTTTCAGCTGCTGTCTGACGAGTGCCTTGGGTAATTTTAGTGAAGCAATTTTCCACCTGAGATGGACAGAATTAATTATGTTTGCTTCTTTCAAAATTTAATTTGCCTCCTCTTAAAAAATTAATGGAACTTAATATATCAAAAATACTGACTTTGACATCTTCAATAAGTGCAAGTATAACTGCATTATATGGAGTGGGATCAAAACTCTTCAAATCAAGATGATGCTAACTTCAGTCTTGTGATTCTATCAAATTTAACTTCAATGTAGACAGTAATTGGGCTGCTGCGTGACTCCTGGGCATTCCTGGCTTCTAGTCAGTAAATAGAAAGTAGTTCTAGCAGAAATTACACCTGTTAATAAATATTTCTATCTGGGTGCTGGGAGGTTTGGCCATGCGACTTCTAGAGTCCAGTGTCTTAGCAATATTCACAAGATAAATTTAATACAGGAGTCATGGCCAAATGGCACAGTATTATCCATTATACCCAAGAACAAGGGAAGAAACAGGTATTGGACTTGACTTTGATGAAAATATTAGTCACATCTATATTTAAATCCAGGCCAGTTTTCAAAGAAACATAAGAGCTAGAATAGGCCATTTAACTTCTCAAGCTTGCTCTGCCATTCTTGACCTTAGTTGATCATCTGCCTTATGCCATTTCCATTGCCATTGCCACGTCCCTTGATGTCATTAGTAACCAGGAATCTATCGGTCTGTGTCTCGAACTTAATTAACAACTGAAATTCTACAGACCTCTAGGGTAGAGAATTTCATCAAGCTCCTCTCCATCTTGTTTTTCACTCCAAAAGGACGTCCTATAGTTCTTGACTCTGTTATCAAGGAAATACCCTTTCTGCATTTAATCTGTCTGTCCCTTTAAGATTTTTTAAAAGTTTCGATGAGATCAATCCTCAACAGGCCCAATCTTCTCAATCTGTTCTCATAGGACAGTTCCAACATCCCAGGAATCAGTCTAATGAACCTTTGCTGTACTCACTGTATGGCAAGTATATGCTTCCTTAGACAAAGAGACCAGAACGGTACACCATACTTAAGGTTTGGTCTAACCAGTGTTCCAAACAATTGAACCAAGAGTTCTTTGCTTCTGCACTCAAATTCTTGAAATAAAACCTAACATTTGCTTTCTGAATTGCTTGCTCCACTTGCATGCTAATTTTTGTTTCTTTAACCTGTTTTTCCAAAACAACCTGTTCAGAGATGTTAGTACACACCTCTGGAGCAGGTAGGACTTGAACCCAGGTCTCTCGGTCCAAGGGTAGCGAACACCACCACTGTACCACAAGAGGGTCCCTCCCTGCCTGCTAATCATTGTTATTTATGAACAAGGATACCTGGATCCCTTTGGGCATCCACGCATCCAAAGTCTCACTGTTTAAGAAATACTCTGCACCTTTGTTCCTCCAGCTAAAGTGAATAATCTCTCACTTATCCACAATGTATTCCATCTACCATGTTCTTGCCCACTTATTCAGGCTGTTTAAATCCCATTGAAGCCCCTTTGCCTCACTCTTTCACATTCCTCCCAAATTTTGTATCACCTGCACATGTGGAAATGTTCTAATTGACTCCCTGCATTAAAATTATTGACATAGATAGTGAATAGCTGAGGGCTAAGCATTGATTCTTGTGGTGCCCCATTGGTTGCAGTCTTTCAATCTGAGAATGACCCATTTGTTTCTATCCTCTGCTTCGTCTGTTACCCGGTCCTTAGTACATGCTAATGTATTATCCTCAATCCTGTGCGCTGTAATTTTGTTACTTCACCTCCTTTGTGGGACTTTATCAGAAACCTTGACAAAATCCAAATACACCACATCAACTGATTTTCTTCCTCATCAACTCAGTGACATCTTCAAAAGCCTCTGTCGTGTCAAACATGCGTTCCCTTTCATAAACCAATGTTGTCTCTGTCCAATCAGCTAACTGTTTTCTGGTAAGCTTTCATATTGTTGTAATAACCAGCTAATTACACAAAAACATTTATATAGAGAATGTATTTTGGATACATTTTGTGTTTTTTTTAAAAAGAATTTTAAGTGGTAATTCTTGCTAGCTTAATAAATGCACATCTGACAGTGTATAGGCATTGATAAAAATAAAGCATAAACTCATCTTTGTTATAACTTTGCAGAAACTACAGAAACCGATATCACTACTACTGAGATTATCAAGCGAAGAGATGTTGGTCCATATGGAATCCGGTCAGAATACTGCATTCGAAAGATTATCTGTCCTATTGGTGTTCCTGAAACTCCTAAAGGTATAGTTCATCTCAAAAACATACAGCATATTCAGTGTGTCACTGTTTTGCCAGTTCTCTACTAATCTTCCTGCAGAAACCCATTCTCATTCCTTTGAAGTATGTTTTTCTTAGATTTATACCTTGGTTTAAGACTTTCCCTTAAATCTAATATTAAATTCAGTTGTCGTATTGTCATTGTCTGCAAGATGTTCCTTCGCCCTCAGTGTGCTAACCAATTCTGGGTTGTTAATTATTACTAAACTTAGCCTGTTTCAAGAAATATATTACTTCAAACACTTTTGTTTCTTCCAGCTTGTGAAAAATAAAATTCCTGATTGCAACCAATGCTTTCTGACCTCAATTTTTTCTATATACTTCACAATACCCAAGTATGACTTTGAGGTTTTCTTTTCCATATTGTCCCATTGCTTCAATGCCCTTTTGAAATCCCGTCTTTCTGGTCCTGTTATTGTATATTTTATCAAAATTACTTTACCTCCTGTCCAGGTTTTCTTACCCTTTCTAAAGCTTTGACTGTTGGCATCTAAATCATACTTAGCTTGTAGTTGGATCTGTGTAATACAGCTACAACAGGCACATTGAGCTGCTTTTCTGCTTCAATCACGAGTTTTCTTTCTTACCCTATGTACATTTCTGCAGAGACCAGCTATTTTGAGTAACTGTCTCCTACCTATAAATTAATTTTGTTTTTCATGTTATCATACTGGGTAGATTTTCCTTCCTTTTAAATTGTTTCCCACAACCCTATTTACTGTCTTGTAAAATGGCCAATTTTACCTTCCATTGTGAATTTCTACAAATAATTAGGGTACTGAGGGTGTACAGCAAATCGGTCTAGCATCAGTGCTAGGCTACAAGAATCAAATTTTTGAATCATAACCTTGATTGAAATTTTAACTGTTGTAGTCTCTCTTTATTGCATTTTAAAGCGTCTTAGCTGGGCCACTAGATGAAACTGTCTTTTTCAGTTTGTTTACTTTGGGGCAAGGTTGACTTGGCCCAAGGGACAAGTTGCATGCAATAAAAGGGCATCTGTGTGAGCTAGAAATCATGAATTGTTTTGATTAAATAGAAGTTGTAAATTGGTTAACTGTTCAATTTTTTAATCCTTTCTTTTGCTTTCCATTTTAAAGAAACTCCAACACCACAGAGGAAAGGTCTTCGATCTAGTGCGTTACGGCCAAAGAAGATTGAGGCCCCAAAGCAGACTGGTCCTGTAATAATTGAGACCTGGGTTCCAGAGGAAGAGCTGGATTTATGGGAAATTCGCAGTTTTGCAGAGAGGTAGAACAGATTTGGTCCATATCCATTTTTTTATTCAGTGCACAATATCAAGTAATTTTAGCATTTAACAGATCTCCATTAGATGATTAGTTTATTTTCATTATGTTCAAAATGATTAAATTCGATGTGTAGTGAGCCAAGCAGAGACGTTATTATTAATTGATGTAGAAACTAGGAGTAGGAGTATGCCATTCAGCCAGCTCTGCCATTCCATATGATCATGGCTGCTCCTCCATCTCCATGCCATAATTCCCACTTTCTCTCGATACACCTTAATGACTTTAACATCTAAAAATATATCTAGTTCTTGCTTGAAGATATGTAGTGTCTTGGTCTTCAAAGCCATTTGTGGTAGTGAATTACACCAGTTTACTACACTTTGAGTGAAGAAAAATTTTTCCTTATCTAGGAACTAAATGACCAACCCTGTATCCTGCAACTGTTACCCCTTGCTCCAGCTTCCCACCCAGGAGCATCCTCCCTGCATTTGGTCTGTCCAGCCCTGTTGACATTTTGTACGTTTCAAATTGATCTGCATTCATCTTTCGAAACTATGGTTTGATTGGACCTGTGCTCACTGATTTCCCTTCACTGGACAGTTCTGCCATCTCTGGTTTCAACCTAATTAACTTCCACTGCACTTCCTTCAGATTTGCTTGTATGCCTGTTTAATTAGTAGATGGTGAATTTATGAAGTTAAAAGTTTCACATTTGAGACCTGCATAATGTCTCAGAGCTTCTAGACTTGATACTTCATGTGCCGCCATAAATAACAGTGCAAAACGTAAAACTGGACCAGAAATTTTAAGTGCAAAATGATTTTATAATTACTATGCCTATTCAAAGCTGTTTCAATTCCGTGCGTACTGGTTTCTTGGGAGCAAAAAACAAAAGGTTGTAGGATATTTTAAAAGTTATCACTTGTATGCCAGCTAATTTCTAATACTTCGAGATTGATGGTGGGTTGAAAATTCAGATGTGTAAAAGAAAAAAATTTGGGAGGTGTAGGAAAAATATCAATGTGTACCAAATTTGTAAATACTTGAAATTAAGCTGGCTTGATTTACTCTTAATATCAGTCCCTCTAATATACATTACTGAGGACATTTCCAGATCTTTGGCATGTCAATCTAACTTATTAAAATGCATCAGACTAACGGCTCTGTAATGTAATATTGTCTTGAATTACTGGACATGCTCTGACTTGAGTAACAGGTAAAATTAACGTTTCCATGAAGACTTTTTCAGATATGTTTTCATTTGCACTGTTCTATTTGAGTCATTGTGGTTTTGGGGAAAATAATTCAGCAGTTAGCTTTTACGTTGATTGTAAACAAATGGTGCAAACAATGGAAATGGAAAACTGCGCATATCTTCTATCTTTCAGAATAAGGGGCCACACATTTCGGAGAGAGATGAGGTCTTTCTTCACTCATAAGTTTGAGAATCTGTGGAAGTCGTTACCTTAGAGGGCAGTTCCCTGCATATCTTTCCTTTCAAAATAACCACCTAATTACTTTTGAATGCCTTGATTGAATTGTCTCCACCACACTCTCTAAGGCAATTCATTCCAGACTCTAACTTACTCATTGTGTGAAAAGTGGACTTGAGACCATTCACAATTTGTTTTGGGAAACTGGGTAGCAAAGTGAGCGTACAGTTTAAACTAAGTCCAAGTTGATGGGATGGAACCCCTTGCCCTCTGTCATCTGGTTGTAAAGTTTCCTTGTGAATTGAGTTTGGACAGAATGAATCCAGTTTCTAATAGGCCCTGTTCCATACAAATTAGTGGTGGCAGTCTGGCTGTGAGATAGCTGCTTCAGAGGTGGAGGTGATCTTTACTCCACATTTGGCTCGTTGTACTTGATTTGGAAGTGGCTAATGATGGAGACACTAGGTGAGTGTTTGAATTAGCAAAAGCTCTATTTAGCAGTGCCAATTTTGCTCAATTACATTTTTAAAAATGTAACTGCTTCAGTTTGGCCGGATTCAAACGCCTGAGGAGGAAGGAACATTATTGTGATGAACTCTCTGCCTACAGATTGGTAAATTGAGTGATGGCACGAATATGGGGTCAAGAGCTCATCTCTGGGTGAAATGACACCAATGTTGTGAACTGTTTCATGCAGCCTCAAATGCTTGTCGATGAAAAGGCTGGAGTCTATGTCCAGAGTGCGAAGTTTTGGTCGTCATAAACAATAATTAAAATATTGGCCATTTGACGGCTCTGAGGAGCTGGTGTGAAAGAGGAGGTTGAGGCCTGAGGCAGACCAACCATGATCATATTGAGTGGCAGGACAAGTTTGAGGGCTGGATGCCTAATCCTGAATCTATTTCTTTTGAACTTGCACCCAATCTTTCCAGTATTTAGCTGGAGGAATTTTTCATGCATCCATCATTACAATGTAGAAGCATAACATAGCTGATTCTTTGCATAAAGTCATCACTCTTAAAGAATAATTTGGTCATGTATTTCCTTGCTTTTCAGGGTGGAAAAGGAGAAGGCACAAGCTGCTGAGCAGCAAGCAAAGGTTAGTGAGCAGAAGAAATCCGAAGAGTTCAAGGCCCAACTGGAGGCCCAGCTTAAGCAGCAGCGCTTGGCTGCTCAACAGGTGGGAAGGCATGAAGTTTCCTCATCCCACCTGTCAGTAAAGTGCATTGAATTTAATTTTTATTCTTAAAAGAATTCATTGTTCTTAGATTGTAGGTTGATAAAGGAAAGATGTATGTTGATGTATTAACATGTTTATTTTGTAAATATTTGAGCTCATTAATGCTGACAGTGTAGTGTCATTACATTTGCATCCTTTGACATGGAGTGGCAAGAAAAGCATGAAGTGCTGCTCGTGTCCCTTTGTAGTTTCATATCTCCTGCCAAGGTTGTTGGGAGGAAGATGTCATATGTGAATCAGCTGCAGAAAACTTGATCACCACTCTTATGACCCGGGTTCGATTCCATTCTTGGGCGACTGTCTGTATGGAATTTGCACGTTCTCCCCGTGTCTGCATGGATTTCCTCTGGGTGCTCTGGTTTCCTCCCACAGTCCAAAGATGTGCAAGTTAGGTGGATTGGCTGTGCTAAATTTCCTTGTGTGTCCAGGGATGTGCAGGCTAGGTGGATTAGCCATGGGAAGTGCAGGGTTACAGGATAGGGAAGGGGGTGGGTTTGGATGAGATGCTCTTTGGAGGAACAGTATGGATACAATGGGTCAAATGGCCTACTTCCACACTGTAGGGATTCTATTCTGTGAAACCTTCTGCCCCGAAGATCTCGTCTGTGTCAGATCAGTAGACCACCAATTTCTCTGTCACTAAATGCTATTTTGTGGAAGATCTTTCCATCTAGAGAGTTCTGTGGTCATGCTGAAATAGTTTAATGCTTTTCTACAAATATTACTTTGGCTTGAAGTATTCTGAAGCTGAAGTTATTCTCATTCTATTGGGTGTTTTAAAAATTCTGACCCTCCCCTCCCCGACACATCATGAATTCGATAATTAATCCAGTGGTTTGTTATGCTTTTCATGTACCAATAATGTTGAAATATTATTATCCAATTCTAACATGATCACGGCAGTGTTGTTTATGAAATAATGCTGCAAATTCTTAATTATGTAAAATTGTTATTTTAAGCGTAATTGTTTGGCTATCGTAAGTGGTAAGACTTAGCATATTAATGTTTTACAATGCTTACGTGTGAACAGTAATTAAGTTACACAAATGTGGGATGAGAGAAGAGTGAATGAGAACATTGTAATATCTCATTGGTGAATCTTTTCTGAGAATACATCCAAAGACTGGAATATTGCCATGCATTCTCTTTGATTTTTATGTTGTGAAAATATATGCAATGGTACTGTGTGGAAAACCTTTTGTAAATTTTATTGTGCCTTAACAGAAACGTCTTGAGCAGCAGAAGCTATCTTCCGCTCCAAATTCCTCTTCCACTATGTCAACAACCAACAGCACTGCTACCACTATTGCCACCCCGCAGAAGTTAGTGGTAGGTTCCTTGACAGGACAGGTCTCCCCAGGAACAAAGGTGGTATTTGCTACCTCAAAAGTGGGTTCACCAACTACAGTAACATTCCAGCCTAACAAGAATTTTCAACAGAGTTTTGCTACCTGGATCAAGCAGGGCCAGAGTGGGTCAGGTATGTATCTCTGTGGATACAACCAATGCATTCATATTTGAGAAGAAATAATAAATGAGCATGATCATGTATGGTTGTATGCAGTGTTCCTAACCTCAGCAGTGACATTAAGCAGAGATCTCCCCAAAGGTGGGAAGAAAATCGGATCTTTCTTTCAGTGTGACACATTTTTATTTTCTTCATCCCAATGATTTCATTGGGAGCACAGGCTAGAGTTACACTTGTAGGGCTTCAATGTTTATGTTTTAATTTTGCTTATTGTTGGATTAGGATGTGTCACTAATCCAATATTGCCTGCTTTCATAGGTTTATGCTTTTTGCCAAACATTGTCCTTTTGTCTCACTGAATATCTTGCAATGACCTTGATCTGCTGTCATTAATGATGCAGTGTATTACTGAAGCGCACAAACTCAGTTTGACTCAACTAAGCTGGCATGATGTTGAGATCCATAAATATTTTCCTTGGAAATAAACAAATCTTGAAAATATTCTACTTAAACCCCAACTTCTTGAAAGATTATGTATTTTATGTTTTGAATTGCTTGGTCTGTATATTAAAATAGCTAATGAACCAAAACATTCCTTTTGTTCACTCATGGTAAAGTTATTCTCATGTAAACACACTCTTATAGTAAATAACTTGCCTTGTGCTCGGTTTTAATTTAAGTACACTTTGAATTAATATCAGCTGAGTGCTGATTTAGTAATGTGAAAGTTGAGCAACTGACTTCTTTGCTCATTTGAGATTTGTTCAAATATAAGTCTCAGATGTCAACCAAATAATGAAAGTCTAAATGCTGTTTATATCTCCTGTCCATTTCCTTCTAGTTACCAGCACGGTTTCCACCACAGGTACAACCATTGCCACCACAGGTCAGACGTTCCAGATAACAGGCAGTCCAGTAAGCATGACAGGCAAGGTGATAACTGCTAAGCTTCCACTCACTGCGAACAGCAAAATCCTGACTGTCAATGTGCCAACCACTCAAGGAGGTAGGGTGGAGAGTATTATTTCATAGTGCATGTTTTAAACCACAGGACCCTTAATATAAATTGTCATCTGGAATATAGCTAGAGCTGCAATATTTTTAACGTGTCTGTAACATTTTTGTGTTTTCCATTTTTCTCCTCGTTTTAAAATTTGTACATTAAGCTTTGAATCAGTGGAAAAAGCTGCTGGCACTTTCTGACTTAAGGCAGCAACAATGGGCTGAGTGGGATGGTGTGATCTGTAATGACAACTGTGGTTAACTTGGAATCTTTTTAAGAAAAGGGAAGAGCAAGTGCAAGTGCAAGATTACTGATTATCAGATTACTGGCATGTGAGCAGAGCTCTGCTTGAGTATTTTGTTTGCATATAGTGCTCTTCTTCCTTTGTAAGCAAGTAAGGCATAGCTCTCATTCATGCTGGTATAAATTCAACTGTATTTTTATGTGCAAACTGGTTTCTGTAGAGTAGTGTACCTTTTCAGAAGGAACAAAGTGGATTGTTACACTGTAATGCACTTGTGTTCAATATCCATATTTCAGTTGGCATGCAGGATGTTAACATTGGATTGTTCTAATGTGGAAGCTCAAAGGTTGAGGCCTTGCTTGAGAAGTTTGTGTTTTCTCCATGACAGTTAGATGTCCCATCAAATGAATGAACTGGAAAGGAATTGATTTCTTTCATGGGCAGCCCAGTAAGTGGTGCTTGTGCCTCATGCATGTTCTCTCTGTTACGAAGACCAAGTGCTAAAGAAACTCAGCAGGTTTGACCTTACTTGTGAAGAGAAGAACAGAGTCAACATTTTGAATACAGGAACATAGCATTAGGAGTAGGATATTCAGCCCCTTGAGCCTATTCCACCATTCAGTGAGATCATGGCTGATATGTAGCCTAACTCCTTTGGCTCATATTCCTTAATATCTTTTCTTAGCAAAAAATTTATGTATCTCAGATTTAAAATAAAATAATTGATCCAGCATCCACTGCCATTTGCAGAAGAGTTCCTAATCTCGAATATGCTTTGTGTGTAGAATTGTTTCCTAATTTCTCTCCTGAACAGGCTGCCCTAATATTTAGATTATGCCCCTTAGTTCTAGAATCCCTAACCAGTTAAAGTAGTTTATCTTTATCTGCCCTGACTTTTCCTGTTAATATCTTGAAGCCTTCATTCAGATTATCTCTTAACCTTCTAAATTCTGGAGAAAATAGGTTAATTTACATAATCTCATGTCAGAACTTAACCCTGAAGTCCAGGTATCATTCCTGTAGACCAGTGTTGTACTCTGTCCAAGTATATTTCTTCTGACGGTGATGTGCCCAATCCGCTTTCAGTACTCCAGGCTTATGTATAGCTGCAGCATAACATCTGCATCCAGTTTTCTATATAAAAAGGCCAGCATTCCATTAGCTTCCTTGATTATTTTCTGCAGCTGTTCTTGGCGCTTTAAAAAGCTGTGCACCTGAATTCCGAGTCTTTTTGGACATCCATTGTATTTAACTTTATACCATCTAGAAAGTATCCTGATCTATCCTTTTTCAGTCCAAAACCGATAATCTCACATTTGCTCACATCAAAATCTATCTGCCACAGTTTCGCCTATTCACCATTAGCAAATTTGCATATATGACTTTCTATACCATTATCCAAGTCATTAATAAATAATATGAATAATTTGAAGCACTGACACACTTCTTCGTGGGATCCCACTCGTCTCATCCTGCCAATTTGAGTACTATCTGTTATGCCTACCTTCTATTGCCTGCCACTCAATCAATTTCCAGCCATGTCAATAATTTGCAGAAAGTTCCATGGGCTTCTACCTTTGTTAACAGTCTCTTGCATGGGACTTAAATGCTTTCTGAAACTCCAAATAAATGGCATCCGTAGACATTTCCCTGTCCACTACTTTAGTCACCTCTTCAAAAGCTTAAATTAGGTTTGTCAAGCATGACCTACCTGTCATGAAAAGAAGCTGCCTCTCCCTGAAAATGGTTGAGGTGTTCAGTTATCCATTGCTGATTGCAGACTCGGCATCACTTTCCCCAGCACAGATGTTAGGCTAAGTGATCTTAGTAGAACAGATGGTGATGGTGCCCAGAGCAAAAGATAAGGGAGTGCAAATCCATGCACTTCTTTTTTTGCTAACAATTGTTTCAAGGAATCTTCTTGAATGCCTTCTTGAAATCCATATAAATAACATCCATGAATATTGTATCCTCAAATGATTCAATTTCATACCCTGTCCTTCCCTTTTGATTAGCATATATTAGTTGAAATGCTTTGTCAGTCTATCCCTTTTAACAGATTCTAGCAATTTGTCATGTAGAGTTATCAGTTAAGTTGGTGGCAGCAGTCACTTGCTACCGAGTACAATTGTCCACCTAGGAATTTCCATGTCCCTAGACGTGGTTTCTGTTGTTGCTTATGCGGTTGATCAGCATGATGGTAGAGCTGCATTTCCGATCACAAATTAGGTGTTTCTGGATGGTGGAAGTCCATCCTTGGCCTCTAAGTTGCTGGCATTCCTTTCTCTGGTTCCTTTCCCATACAACTACTTGCTGACCGGTTTTAGTAGTAGGGTTACGTCATCCATGAACTTAACTTTCTGCAATATCTACTTGCCTGAAGCAACTTTTGTATTTTGCTGGTTTATGACCTTGTGCCATTGTTACTTGCAAATTATTGTCTTCTTCTTACTTGTTTTCTGCCTTGTTTATTATAGGTGTAGTTCAGGTGCAGCAAAAAGTTCTGGGAATCATTCCATCAGGCACTACTTCCAGCCAGCAAACCTTTACTTCATTCCAACCAAGGGCCACCACTGTAACTCTGCGACAGAGTGCACCAGGTACAACAACTACAACTCAGCAGGTACAGGTATTTATTCTTTTTATTTACTATATCTTAGATTATTACAAATGTGCTTTGTTTAGGACTCATGGACAGCTGGTGTGTTTGTGTGAATGTTTCTTGTAGCTGCTCCTGTTCAGAGATCTGCTTTCACAATATGCCATGATTGTCTGCCTTGGGCCCTTGTCACTCATCTACCGCAATTTAACTGCAACCGCTCTGTGACATCTGCCATCAATCACACTTGGGTCAACCCCTCAATCCGCTCCCTCTATATTAATGTATGTAGCTTCCCTTAGTCAAGGTCAGACTGAAAGAACGTACGCATGAGCAGCACTTGTTCCAACTCAAGTTGTTGATAGTCATTCACTGTTCATTTCTCAGTGCATCGCCCTTACCAATCAGCGTTAAAATGTCTGGTGTAAGGTTTATACAAGCCTGGCAGTTAAGTATCAGTTATCATTAGTGATGCATTCTCCATGGCAGCACCTTTGTCAATCAGTTAACACTTCCCTCAGCATAAATGTTGATTTTCTGCTTGAAATGATATTTTTGAAAATTGTCTTGATGATTGCTAGACCAAAAGCTTCAATAAAATGTCTTTTTCTCGCAATTTGTTATTCTGGACCATAGTAAATTTAATTAGCAGTAGAGAATTAAGCAAAAAATAAAAGAAATGAAGCAGTTGTTGTCAAAATCATAGAATCCCTACAGTGTGGAAGTAGGCCATTTGGCCCATTTGAGTCCAGACTAAACCTCCAAAGAGCATCCCACCCAGACCCACCCCCACCCTATCCCTGCATTTCGCACCCTTGACACTATAGGCAATTTAGCATAGTCAGTGCTTCTAACCTGCACATCCTTGGACTGTGGGAGGAAACCGTAGCACCCGAAGGAAACCCATGCAGACATGGGGAGAAAATGCAAACTCCACATAGAAAGTCGCCTGAGGCTGGAGGTCCCTCGTGCTGTGAGGCAGCAGTGCTAACCACTGTGCCAACCACTGTGCCACCGTTACACAGCTTCTAAACCAGTTTGAAAATACTGGCTGACCTCTGGCAAACAAAGAGAAAATCAAGACACTTCCTCTGGTAGAAATAACAGATGAACATGCAGGTTCTGCTGTAGAATGCCCTGTGTGTAAAGAAGATTACAGCATTGGAGAATCTGTTAGGCAGCTTCTGTGCAACCATTTATTCTTTAATGATCGTGTAATGCTTTGGCTAGAAATGCACGATATCTGTCCAGCGTGTCGGAAAAGCTTCAGTGAGCAAAAAACGAATCTTCCTGATTTATCGAGAATGAACTTCTCCTCCTCTGTCTCAAGTTCACTGAGTAATGAGAATTCAACAATTTCTGAATTTGAGCAAAAGCATCTCAAGTTTACTGTTTTAATATGCAACAGTGTTTGATGACTACCATTAAACATTTTATAATTTAAATTGTTGTGTTAGGTTTGGTGCAAAGAAAGCCAGAGTAAATGGGTTTTTTTTTAAGAAAGAACTCTTTGCTCAATCTCTACTCGAACATGAATACCCACTTTTTTTTTCAAGATTTATTTTATGGCTTTAAAACTTTTTAAACTTAACATCTCGACAACCTGCTATGTTCAATTTATTTCATCTTACTTGGGTGGAAAAACCCCTGTGTGCACATTGTTTTAATCATACTGCTGTGAGTTAGCTTAAGCAGTGGAAGATGTCTGCTGTTCATTATTTCACAAATCTATATAAGTCTTTAACCATTATAATGTGTTTTAAGATTAATGCAGCTGTTGAATTTTAGGTAATGTTCGTTTTTATGCACCTGAACTTTTGTTCTCATACTAAAAGGGACTTTTTTTGCAAAATTTTTTGGATTGGCTGTTTTATAGATACTGTGGAAAGCTTAATGATAGCCAACAGTTTGTTCAATAGTAAATGGGGGCTGTTTGCTTCGCATCAAGGGACTGGAGATGGGACTGTGTTTGGATTGGGGCAGGAAAGAAAACACGTATTTATATTGAAGCATTGAATTGGTAATTGATTACATGCCGATTCAAAATTCTTTTTAACAACATTCTGTGTTAAGTCCAAAAATATGTCAATCGTGGAAGAAGTGCAATGCCTCTAGTGACATAATTGGAGCAGTTTACGACAGTACAATTGCCTTACTTGAGCAGCAGCTGGACTGTCAGTCGTCAGTCACTTCCAATTTTAAAAAAGCCAGATTGGCTCACTGTAAAGCATTTTGCATTAGTGGGTTTTCTGGCAAGATGTCAAAATTATATTAAGCTCCTGAAAAGAAAAACAAATGTTTTTGCATTGTGTGAATTAAATTTGTCATTCTTTTCCATTCCCTTTTGATATACAAAGCAATCACTACTTCTCACCAATGTGGGAGTCGCACAGCTCTCCACCAATGGAAAGTTCTAAATTGAATAGCCTTTATAATTTAATATCTGCAAAATTTCTGAAGACAACAAGTAGGGACACCAGAACTCTTAATAAGGGTAATGTTGCTATAGTCCCAGAGACCATAGGGCTGTTTTTTCACTAGAGAGGTGGTGGTTAACCTGAGGGTCACCATGCTTCACGTGAGAGGAAGGGGTTGAGAAGGACAGTCCTACATGTTGACCTGCGCCAGTGTGGGAATTGAACCCACGCTGTTGAGGGGAAGGGTGAGCTGTGAGGAGAATGAAGAGATGTAGTATTGTGATTTGGGCAGTTTGAGTGAGTTGGCAAATGCATGGCAGATACAGTATAATGTGGATAAATATGAGGTTATGCACTTTGGTAGCAAAACTGGAAGGCAGATTACTTATTGTTAATTGAGAGAGGGGAATGCTCAATGAGACCTGGGTGTCCTCGTGTACCAGTCATTGAAAGGTAAGTATGTAGGTGCAACCCGCAGTAAAGAAGACAAAACTGTATGTTGGCCTTCTTAACAAGGATTCAAGTACAGGAACGAGGATGTCTTGTGGCAATTATACAAGGCATTAGTGAGGCTACACCTGTAGCATTTCGTGCAGTTTTGGCCTCCTTACCTGAGGATGGATGTTCTTTCTGTAAGGCTGAGATTCTTGATCACTAAGGAATCAAGGGTTACAGGGAAAGGGCAGGAGAGTAGACATGAGGAATGTCGGATCAGCCAGAGGGGTCATTGGATCTGAAATGTGAACTCTGTTTTCTCTCCACAGATGCTGCCAGACCTGCTGAGTTTTTCCAGCAATTTCTGTTTTTGTTTCTGATCTCCAGTATCTGTAGTTCTTGGGGTTTTTTTAGCTCAATCATTTCCCAGGTTAGTTGTTCTGGCTGTTGGTAGCTTCAGAGAACATTTGGGAAAGATGGCTGTCATCACTCTCTCTACTTAAAAGGATGTTTTGATCTAACTCTTCCATCTTGGCCTCGCTCTTAAATTAGTTATTATTTCCATTTTTTATTTCCCCTTCCAGTATCCTGCCTTTTAAATCAGCAGTCATTGCCTGATCATTTTGGTGGCAAATCCCCAAATTTGGCCTATTTGACATTGATCAAATTTATTTTCTTCATTAGCATTAATGGCTTCCAGCTGCATTATTGAACAGGGCATGTTGCAATGGCTGTCTGCACCTTTATAATGTTCATCAATCAGCACACCTCTCAAAGCAGCTAGGTCATGTTGATGTAGCAGTTTCACACGTAGCCTCTCATTTCTGTAGTGTAATTTTCCCTCTTTCAATTTGAGACAATGTGGGATTGTTAAAATAAGGGCAATTTCCACCTTCCTCAGATCAGTACTTTTCTCAGAAGTCTATGGCTGTTTTCTTGATCTTGAAATGGTTGAGACACTGGCTGGGATCAGAAATAAATTTTTAGATGTCTCCCAGTTACACATCTGTTAAGGTTGGCTCCTGTTGTATATATTCTAATTTCTTTTTCCATGGTCCTTAGACAGCTTCAGTCTTGTTTACATTTGCGGTCCATAGAACCTTGTGCATCATATTACAGTCAGTTTTTGAACAGTTTGTGCTAATTCATCATAATTCAGAGATTATAAGAAAACATCATATTCCTTAAATTTCAGGAGTTAGGTATGGCTGTCTAGTTTTGCTAAGTTTTATTTTCTAATGGCTCTTAAAAAAAAGATTCTGAAGACATCTTTGTATGTGATCTACTGCAGTGCTTTGGCATTAGTGTTATCATTTTGAAATTAATGTATTATAATCTTTTATGCTAGGTCCTTACAACAGGAGGAGCAACACAGATACGTCCTGGTGTTACAGTTATTAGAGCACCTTTTCAACAGGCAGCAACCATTGGCAAAGCTATTATCCGCACACCTTTGATGGTCCAGCAAGGTATCCTCCCAGCAAGTAGGTTCATCATTATATTTCTCAAACATAGGATACATCAACTAATCTATTGGTGCTTTCCATGTATAATGCAGGTTTTGTCATCTCTTTTTGTTTTGTGGCACCAATTTTGCATTACTGAATTTTCAATTGCAACCTTATGGCCCCCTAATTTCAACTGAACACATCACCACATTAGTCTGTGACTCTGCTTGTTCCCACCTCAAAAAATTTGTTGTACTTAGTCAGGGCTGTGGTTGCTTATGCTACAGCATGAGGGAGAACAGTTGCTGCATCTGGGCAGAGACAATGTCAGTTGCAGAAAATGAAAGATATTTTTAAGTGCAGCTGGTATTTTATAACTAATTCAGCTTATCAGTTGCAACTAGGTAAAGGTAAGATCTCCACAGTCCTACACTCTCATGACAGAGAGACAGGATGACCGGTCGGTTTGACCCGAAGATCACCTTGCCTCATGGTGAAGAGGTTGAGAAGGACAATCCTTTATGGTCCTTAGCCAGTGTGGGAACTGAACCCACGCTGTTGGCAATACTGTACAGTGTTAACCATCCATCAGCCAATTGAGCTAACCAACAAGACAGACATCCTAAATTGAGTTTTGAAATGCAAACTGAAACCTGATTTTCGGCAGTAAATTTAAGGAGAATCATGTCAGGATCAACTGTTTCTTAAAATGTTCATTTCTTTTTCCAATCATTGTTATTAAAATTCTCATCAGGAAAACTGAGGAGATTGCTTTGTTAATGGAACTTTTTTGCAGATACTTCCAAAATGACTCTGAGGAGCATCGGAATTACTCCATCTTGCATTATTTATTAGCATTTACTAATTTCTACAGGTTAATATATTGTGTAACTAGACTTCTTTATTTATCACAGGATGAATGTATCACTGGCTAGGCGAGCATTTATTGCCTAGAGAGTAGTTTGAGTCAACCGCATTGCTGTCCTGGGGAATTCCATTTCCTCTTTTAAAAACCTTGTACTAGGGCCTTTTATGAACTGGGTCCCCAGATTATTACATGTGTCTCTCGGTTAACAATCTAGTGACAATACTATTAGGCATTACCTCTCTCAATCTGGTGGTCACTTTTACTTAATCTTTTTTAAAAATCCCATTAACTTCATTTTTCTCACTTTCAGCCAATTTTCCCTCTTCACAACCATGCCACATTGTTAGAAAAGACGTAGTTAACCATGGCAGATGGTGGAATTTAAATTTTTTTGAAAAATCTGGAATTTAAAATCTAATGATGACCATGAAACCGTTATCATTTGTGGGAAAAACCAAACTGGCTTATTAATGTCCTTTAGGGAAAGAAGCGGTCATTCTTGCCCAGTCTGGCCTACCTGTGACTCCAGACCCACAGCACTTGGTTGACTCATAGAATCCCTACAGTGTGGAAACAGGCCATTTGGCCCAACAAGTCCACACCACCTCTCTGAAGAGCATCCCACCCAGACCCATTTCCCTACCCCTGATTTCCCATGTCTAACCCACCTAACCTAAAGATCCCTGGGCACCATGGCCAATCCACCTACCCTGCACATCGTTGGACTGTGGGAGGAAACCAGAGCACCTGGAGGGAACCCATGCAGACGCGGGGAGAATGTGCAGACACCACACAGACAGTTGCCCAAGGCTGGAATCGAACCTGGGTTCCTGGCACTGTGAGGCAACAATGCTAACCACTGAGCCACAGTGCCACCCTGCACTGTTGACCTCGCTCTGGGCAATAAATATTGGCTCAGCCAGCAATGCCCAGATTTTATGAATGAATAGAAATTAAATGATTTCGTAGGAACATAGAAACAGAATTACACCATTCAGCCTGTTGAATCTATCCCAAAATTCATTTCAATCATAGCTGATCAAATACTTAATGCCTTTTACCACCCCATCCCAGTGTCCTATATGCCGTTAATAATCAGAAGTCTATCAATCTCTGCCTTAAACATAATCAACAACTGAACTTCCACAGCAGTCTGGTAGAGAATTCCATAGGTTCATGATCCTCTGAGTTTTGAAAAAAAATTCCTTATAGAATCATAGCCTCTGCTTTACTGTAAAATTCTATTCCACCCTTCATGTCTCTGCTGGCTCCTGCAAAAGCTACCTATCTAGTTCCATTCTCCAGCCATATCTCCATAACCCTCTAAATTCATCACTTGCAAATGTATATCCAGCTCTCTCTCGAAACCTTCAATGGAATCTGCCTCCAGTGCTGTTCCAAGCAGTGCATTCCAAATCCTATTAACTCTTGAGTAAAGAATTTTCTCCTTATCTTAGTCCTAGCTCTTATGCTGATAATCTTGAAATTGTGACCTCTAGTTACTGACATATCAACTAATGGAAGCAGCATATCCTCCTTTACCATGTCAAAATTGTTAATCATTTTGAACACCTCAATAAGGTCACCCCTAATCTTACCTGCTTAAAAGTGAATCGGTACAATTTCTCTAATCTTTCCTTGTATCTAGAGTCCCTCATTCCTGATGTCATTTTAGTAAATCACCTTTGAGCTCTCTCCAGGGCTTTTAACATTCTTTTAATAAGGTGCCCAGAACTGAACACAGTACTCCAAATGTGGTTTGACCAATCATTTATAGAGATTTAGCATCACTTCCTTGTTTTTATTCTCTAAGTCTCTATTTATAAATCCTGGGATTTTATAAGTCTTCCTAACAGCTGTTTCAACTTGCCTGGCCACCTCTGAGAATTGTGTGCTTGAATCCGGAGTTCCCTTTGTTCCTTTACTTCCCTCAACGTTGTACCTTTTGAGTCTGTATTGTCTCTCCATGGTTCCTTCTACCTAAATGCATTACCTCACATTTCTGTACATTAAAATTCAACTGCTAGGTGTCTGCCCATTTAGCCAAATTGTCAATGGCCCTCTGAAATCACTTAGCATCATCCTCATAATTCACTATTCTCCTTAGCTTACGATTATCTGCAAATTTAGAGATTTTTGACTCAACTCCCACCTCCAAAAGAAAAGGCAACGGTCCCAACAGTGATCTCTGTGGAACAACACTTTCAACACGTTTGAGAAATAGCCATCTATTCCCTCCCTCTGTTTCCTATCTTTTGCCACTTTCTAATCCATGCTGCCAAGGACCCATCAATCCCGATCATTTCTAATTTGCTAACCAACTTGTAATATGGCACCGTATCGAATGATTTCTGAAAGTCCAAATATACAGCGCCCACAGCACAGCCCTCGTCCACTGCCTGCGTCACCTCATCAAAGAACTCAATTAAATTTGTCAGACATGACCCACTCTTGCCAAAGCCATGTTGACAGTCTAGTATTAACTTATTTTTCTCTATGTATATATTTGATCTTATCCCAAATTATGGCCTCGAACTTTTCCCACTATTGATGTCAAGCTGACAGGTCTGTAGTTTCCTGGGCTATCCTTTGCCCCTTTGTTGAACAACAGTGTATTCAGAGCGGTCTGGTAAATTTCTGTCAACAGCTGTGTAATTTGCTGTCTTACTTTTCTCAGCAATCTAGAATGCATCCCATCTGGGCCTGATGACTTTCCTACTTGGAGTGCTTACCAGTCTTTCTAGATCCTCTTCTTTAACTATCATTATACTGATCCATTGCTCAATGCCCATATTTTCAATTGGGCAATTGTCACCATTTTTTTAATTCGAGGAAAGACACAAACAAAGTACTCATTTAAAACCAAGCCATACCTTTAGTTTCAGTGAGCAGCCCTGGTTGTTCCTTATGGGCCCCATTTTATCCTTCACTAATCTTTTACTAATCTTTTACTATTAGGATGCTTGAAGACTATTTTGGTATTTGTTTTTGTGCAGCCTGCCATCCTTTCCTCATGTTTCTTCTTAGCCTTCTTTATTCCAGCCTTAGCCACTCTCCTGCATTTGCGATAATCTTTGATTTCTGTTGCTTTTGTTATTCTGGTATGCATCATGTGCCTCCTTTTTCTTATTTTCTCATCAGTATCCTTAGTCATCCAGGGTACTCTGGTTTTGGTGTAGTTCTCATGGGTACATACCAACTTGCACCCTCTTCATCTCCTGTTTGAAAGTCCTCTATATTTCAACCACTGTTTTATTCACCACTGCATTTCCAATCAACCTGCTCCAGTTTAAATTTTAGACACCTAAAACTCTCCGTTTGCAGTCTGTGATGTTAATCTTTGACTGATTCTTATCCTTTTCCAAAGTGGTGAACTTTAGTAAGATTGGCGTTTCCAAACGCTCCCCAGCTCTGAGGTTCTCCACTTGGCCTGCTTTATTTCCTAGGACTAGATCCAGCACAGCTTCCTCCCTAGTAGGTCTCGAAATATACTATTCTAGAAAGTTCTCCTGCACATATTACAGGAATTTCATCCCTTCCATGTCCCTCACTCTACCCTTTTCCCTAAGGGAATTGAAATCCCCAACTATCACACTCCTATTGTTCCTGCAGATTTTCATAATCTGCTCTCTTCTACTTTCTCCCCACTATTTGAAGGTTTATGTAGATACCCAACAAAGTTGCCATTCCTTTCCTGTTTCTCATCTCCAACCATATAGATTGTAATTCAGGAACTGCATCTCGTTCAAGGGCCATGATACTATCTTTGACCAAACATGCCATGCTTCTCCTTACCCTCTTTGTACTGAAACCCTTATAATCCAGGATGCTAAGTAGCCAGTCATGTGCTGGCTCCTTACCTGGGACCTAAGTGGCATCTCTTATTTTAAAATTGTGCCCTGGTTCTAGACTCCCCAGTAAAGGGAGGTATCTTAGCTGCATTTACCCTGTCTTTCCCTTTTAAGTGTTTTGTAGGTTTCAATGAGATCACCTTGCGTTCTTTGAAATTTCAGCGACACGGTCAGCCCAGTTCTTTTCATGGGTTAGCCTCGTTATCCCAGGAACAAATCTAGTGAACCTTTGTTGCCCTCTACTCTATGCCAATAATATCTTTCCTAAAATAAGGAGATCAAAATGCACGTATATTATTTCCAGGTGTCATCTAACCAGCCTTTCTGGGGACTTGTGTCCATTGGATCTCCTTATCAATTATTTTTCGTAACATCCTCAAAACGTCCCAATTTTTTCTGATGAAAAATAATTAATAAACACTAATCACTCATCACTTAATATCCTTGTATGACAATTGTTCTGTAGACCAGCATGGCATCTGAAACACGCAAGCATGAATAGATAGTCACATTGTTGGCAAAGTGCTTTTCTGCACACTTCGTAAGGTTGCTAGACCTGTAATCGCTCAAGCTGTCAGTGTATTATTTTTCTCTGTCCGTCTGTCTCTGTCCCCCCCTCTCGCCCCCCCTCTCGCCCCCCCTCTCGCCCCCCCTCCCGCCCCCCCCCTCTCGCCCCACACCACGCCCCCCCCTCTCGCCCCCCCTC